TTACTCCAAAAGTTTGAGCTCTCTTTAGCTTTCTTTTTTTCTACACTCTTTGGAACTCCCTTCCACCTATAAATAAGAATTCTTATAAATCTAATAATAACACCAAAATGATTCAAATTATGAACTTCAAGAAGGTTTTACTTACTTGGATAGAAAGAAAAATTGAAGTTAAGGCTTAACCTACCGAATTAAAAATTGAAAGGAAGGTGGGAAGAGGAAAAGGAAGAAGTATGAAGATAAACATGAAAATGGGAAAAAGTGAAAGATGGGTATGCAACGGGGGTAGGCTTCTCAAAAGATCTCATGACTTTGTGTGTAAGTTTCTAAATGGTTACCTCATTGTAAACAGGCTACAATTAATACCCAGCTTTGATCTTTTAAATGGCAAATCAATCCTCACCCATTGTGCTTAATCTTTCTCTCAATCCCAAGTAACTCCACTTAATAACCCATTCTACCCCATACCGGGTTTGATTCAACTCGGACTCAACCGACTACTTAACTCTTCTAAAGACTCGACTCGCGATAGGATGTCCACATTCAAGTGCGCGCCACCTAAACAAACAACACTTATTGAAAAATTATAATGGGTTTCAAGTACTTTAACTGCAAAATGTGTTTCCGTTAAGATACTAAATAAAATTTTGTGAAAGTTGAAACACTAAACTTATAATTATCCTATTTTATGAATATATATATATATATTATATAATATATATATATATATATATATATATATAATAATATATATATATATATTGGAAAATAAATTAATACTTTGATAATTTTCTCGAATTCAGCTTTGGATTCCATAAGTATACATAGTTCAAGAGAATTCCTCATTAATTTAGTAATATATAAATTATGCTAACTGACCATTGAATTAGAAGAAATTCAAAATTTGAAAAATGAAAATCTTACATCGCCACCGCCCATAATAAGGGGAAGCAAGATGGGAAATGATCATCGTGGTCCCAAATAAATAACTTGGCTGTCCTGAAATCCATGAGATAAAGAGTTTGGCTTACCTACATTGAAATGAAGAGAAACAAGGTTTTTGTCAGTTTTACATTTCAATTTAAGCCAATACTTTTCTCTAATTTTTATAAACATGATAACTACTGATCTTAAAATTAATTATTCTTTTATGATAAATCAAGCAAAAATAAATTTTAGTTTTTCCTCTTTAAGTCAACCTATCCAAATTAAATTAAAAAAAAAAACTAAATTGTTCAATTACGAAAATTTATACTTTTTTTGTTAAAATTTATTTTCAAACGGAAAATTAATTTCATCGATCTTATTCAAGAAAAAAATATAAACGGTTGTTTTAGTTTGGTAAATGTAAAAGATGAACGACTCTATAAATTATAAAGTAAAATTTTTATAGTTTGTAAAATTCTATTTTGGATTTGGTATGATTATTTATAATACTTAAATAATATTATTATAATTTTGTAATTATGGTATTTTTTAATTATAAAATTGAAATTCAAATAATTAAGATTAATGCAATATGTGTTTAATATAATTATATAGGATCCAACATGTTTAAGTCTAACTAGTAATAAATATAAATAAAATAAAAAGCAAATGTGAATTAGATAAATATTTTCGTAAAATAAACATAGTATAGAAGTCGAAAGGAGAGAAGAAAAAAGAGAGAGAAGAAAAAAGCAATAAAATTACAGAAAAAAAAAAGCAGAGAAATTATTTATTTTGAGAGAGAATTAGAGAAAATTATTTACTCCACGGCATATTTTTGGCGCCCGGGCTGATGGGGTACTTGACTCCACTGAGCTTCATCTCCCGCCCAGATGTTTCTCTAAATCCGAAAATTGCATCTTTATCTTTCTTCTGCGGTCTTTTTTGTGTGAAAGTTTCCGTGGGTTTCTTGGAGGATGCTGGCGGCAATGGTGGTGGTGGTGATGATCGTGATGGTGGCGGCGACGGCGACGGCGACGGTGGTTTATGTGGACAGGTAGAAGAGCAAGGAATACTACAGCAGTCAATGGTTGTAAGCCCATTACATTGACAATTAGAAGGAAAGCAAGGTGGGATAAAATGGGAAGAAGAAGAGGCGGCAAAATAGTAAAGTGGCTGTGGTATTTGTTGGCATTGCCAACAAGTGCAGTTTGGTATGCACATATCATTCCCTTCCATTGTTGTTTCGTTTCTTTCTTTCTCTGCTTTTCATGAACAATAGCTGGAAGTTTATATAATGGACCAGAGGCAGGGTTAACAGATGGGATCAATTCATTGAAAACGTTCCGTCGTTTGGTCAACTAAAAAATTTAAAGAAAAAAGATTGGAGGGAATCTTTGGTTGGTTTAATTGGCAACTTATGTTTGTCAGGATTGTTGCTTGATCGGAGAGAATCATTATTGTTAATTGTAAAATAACATGCATCTTCAAGCTGGTTGACTATTGAGCGAGACACTATTGTTTGCTACTTGCTAAATTATTTTAGATAAATATGATATTTAAGTTAAGACAAGTTTGTTAGCATAATTTTTTTATTATACTATGAACAATTATTATATCAAAATAATAAAAATTATATTAATAATATAAAATGGAAAATATAAATTGCAAGAGGGTGACTAATATTAATGACTTTTTAAAATTCAAGAGGAAAAAATAGAAAAATAAAATTACTCATTAAATAACATATGAATTTGAAGGAAGATTTACTTGCGAAAGCGAAAGGTAATGAATTAATTAACGAAGATAATTTAAAATAAGATAAAATTTAATAATAACATAATAGATAATTAAATATTAATTATAAAAAAAATGTAAATTATATTTTGAAATATATAAAAATAGAAAGATGAACTATCTTTTTGAGACGGACGGAGAAATTAACAAAATGAAATTATTTGGCGACATGTCATATGCTAACCTAAAAACGTTTTATAACCTTAAATACAAATAGGTAAGGAAAGCATTATCATGATGCAAACCAGTTAGTATTTTCATTTTTATATTTTTTTTCTGTTTACAAAAGAAAAGCAAAGCCCCCCTTAACATAAACTCTAAAATAAACTACAATTGGGAAATCATGAAAAAAACCAATCATTAAGGCTTCAAGAATACACTTTCAGCCAAAGAAGTTAGCCAATACGCATAAAAATTTATAAAAACTTTTAGCTCATCATAAGAGGAATCTATAGAAACAACAGTTTAATCAAAAAAAGATTTTTTTTTAATTTTTTGAGGGAGGGGGACTGCCCCAAACTCCATCATTTTTTAAAATTTTGCTTTATAATTTAGTATAAAAGATTAATTTTCTTCACTTTGGTCTCCTTAATTTTTGAAAAATTTACTCTGGCCTCCTCAAATTCATTTATTGCCTCGAAATTTCCCTTTGACATAATTTGAACCAAGCATTGCTCTTAAAGGAATTGAAAAGAAAAGGAAACTTACACTCGCCGCATTCATCTATGTGCAGAGGAAACCACTACAATTAGATTAGGGGCCTGATTATCTCAAGCTTGTTCTCCCAAAGAAACTTGAGTCTTACAGTACTTGGGCTAGCTCTGTGCACTGCATTCCAATTTCCAACAGGTAAGACTGCTAAGGAGGTAAGCCCAACTTCATTCAACTTTGAGTATTAAAGCCCCATAACTATATATGTTATATTCTACAGGAACAAGTATGAATTGCAATCGGAACCTCAGCTTTGGTCACAAATTTTATACAAATGAATTTACATACTTTAGTTAACTGTTGTTGTCTATTTTATGTTTTTTTATTTATTAATATATTAAATAATTAAAATTTTTTTTTCAAAAGTTTTTTCAATAAAAAGTGTTTATATAGCGCGATTCCAATTTTCTTTGCATTGACGTGATTAGAGTGAATATATAAAAAAAAAAAATGGTTTATACAGTGGACTCCAACTAATTTGAAATTAAAGCACGCTATTGTTGTACTTTGACATCAAATTAAAAGGGTAAAGTTGGACTATTAAAGAACAAAAATGATGTGTTTTCAGAAAGAAACCACTAATAATAAAGTTTTCAAAACTATAAAATTGTTTTGTGGCATATTTGGTAGCAAGAGTTTTGAGGTAATGCTGTTAGACCAATTAAAATTTGACAGGTAATATTAAAATAAATTGCAAAATTTTAAAGTGAATCCCACCTGTTTTCTAGAAACTACTTTGATGAAGGGGTGATAAGTTAGGCTATTGTTTCTATTATGTTCAATGAATAATATGATGGTGTTACTATTATGCATTTAAAGCACATAAATTATTGCTGTGCAAATAGCCAAAACAGAACACACCACCTAATAGAATTAATATTATAGAGGTAAATTATTCCTACTGAAATTGAAATCTAGAATTTGTACATCTTTCTTAATAAATACTTGCATGATTTTGTATGGTTTATGTTCGATATAAGGGTGTGTTCAATAAAATTAATTGTTCTGGCAGCTGTTAACTGTTTTAATAGCGTTTAGTTATTAGTTATTTAAGTAGCTTTTCAAAAAACGCTAAAAGTTAAACGTTACATGTGTTAACTTTTTAATAAAACGTTATCTTAACTTCAAAAAGTGAGTTTAAAAGCTATGTTATTAAATACTATAAAAAATAGCGTTTAACATTTTGACCTAAAAGCTACTTAAAAAAGTAGTTGCCGAATACCGCCTAAAATTATATAAGAGTCATTAATGATTTATGATGCTCCTTTAAATTGATATTCAAATTAATTGGTAGACCAAAACAAAATCCTTTTTAGATGGAGAGAAAGAAACAAAATCCGGTTAGTGATGGAAAATAGTCATTTTACCATTTCCATTTTATTTTTATGAACTCACTCTATGCCCATATATAAAAGTCACTTTCATTCCTGCAACTTACTTAGAACCTAAATCATATAATTAAATTGATTTCATCCACCACCATACAAATTATCAGTTTGGGTTATATTTGCTTTTTTTTTTTTTTTTTTTTAAAAAAATTTTTTTTTTTTTTTTAAAAAAATAGAATTATGTTGGTCAGAATTACTAGTTTGAAGAAACAGCTAAGTAAGTCTTTTGCCATGAAAGACTTGGGACAGGCAAAGCAAATTCTTGGTATGAAGATTAAAAAGGTTCAAAGATTTAGAATGGAAAACGCTAAAGCAATTAGTTGTCTTCTTACTAATCACTTTAAATTGAGTTCTACACAGTACCCTTCTATCGATGGAGAGAAGGAAGAAATGAAAAAGATTCCATATGCTTCAGCAGTTAGAAGCTTGATGTATCCCATGGTTTATACACGGCCAGATATTGCTCGATCAGTTGGAGTAGGGAGTCGGTTTCTTTCAAATCCTTTTCAAATCCTGGAAAGGAACATTGGACTGCAATGAAATAGATTTTCAGGATATCCAATCACATTTGCAGGGGGAGCCGTGTTGTGGCAGTCAAGATTACTGAAACATGCAAGGAGTTGCTGTGTATGAAGAAATTCTTGAATGAACTCGAAATTCATCAAGAACGATATCAGATATTTTGTGACAGTCAAAGCGCAATTCACTTTGGAAAGAATTCCTCTTTCCATTTAAGATCAAAACAAATTGGTGTTAGATATCACTGGATCAGTGATATGTTGGAGAGGAAGTTGTTACCAGCTTGAGAAGATCCATACAGAAGAAAATGGATCATACATGTTGACGAAGATTCTTTCAAAGGAGAAGTTCGAATACTGTTTATTAGCTGCAGGGTTGATAATGGCTAATGTCTCCACTTAAGTGTGCAGAGGGAGAATTGTTGTGTGGTGCCCACTTAAGTGGGACCCACACGCTTTGAAAAGAAAAAAAAAAGGGAAAGAGGAAACGTTACACACCTTTTCTTTGAAAAAAATCGGTAGACGAGTTATTAACGCGTCCTCTTCTCCTATAAATAGGAGAAGTTTGTAGCTCACAAAACACATAGCAGAGAAAGAAGTAAAAAATGCAGAAGTTTGTAGCTCACAAAACACATAGTAGAGAAAGAAGTAAAAAATGTAGAGAGAATTATCTAGTTTTAGGAAGAGTTTTTTAAAACTAGGGGAGAGAAAAATAGTGAGAAAATTATTTTGGGTATTTTTGGAAAACACTTTGAGTGCCACTATTTTTGTATTACTCTCTTTGCTATTTTTGTATTACTCTCTTTGTTAGATACCAGGACACGTCAGGCGACTAGGCGGGCGACCACTGCAGACTTTGGACCGAAAATCGACTTAACAACGGCGCTAAATCGGACCATCTACGACTGCGGACCTCATGCGCCTCCCAGCTGCGGGATGTATCGCGCGTCGACCGCCCCGGCCACGTCTGGGGTGCTACCGTAAATTTATTGATGTTAACAATAGGAAGCTTCAGAGCAAGAATCATTCGGCATGGACACAGTTTGTCCCGTGGACGTAAGCATTAAATAGTTAAGGGTGATGTTAATGTCACAATTTTAAAACCTTTTCCACACTGCCATATCGGCAGTAATTATTCTAAGTAAATGCTTAATATTGCCCAGGCCCTAACACCGATTAGGCAGTGATAAAAGTCTCAACAGTACTTCACATATTAAAACTAGGGGAGAGAAAAATAGTGAGAAAATTATTTTGGGTATTTTTGGAAAACACTTTGAGTGCCACTATTTTTGTATTACTCTCTTTGTGTACCTAAAATTTTTTTAATAGTGGAAGAATCATTCGGAGTTTGTCCCGTGGACGTAGCATTAAATAGTTAAGGGTGAATTGTATGTCACAATTTTACTTTTCCACTGCCGTAATTATTCTAGTAATTTTATTGCCAGGCCCTAACACCATGCAGGATAAAATCTCCATATCCATTTCGCTGGGGACGTCCAACTTTTGATGGTGGTGATGTTTTTGCGATGACGGCTGCTTGTTTTGTTGCTGTTGTTGAGGCAATATTTTTTTTTTCTTTGTTGGAATATGTTTTTTATTGATGCTGAATATAATGATTCACCTAATTCAAATTTTGCGGAAAGCAAGGACGCAGCCAAATCTGAAATATGCTCATGGATTTCCATCTTCTTAACATTTAGATATAACAGAATTAGCTAGATGCACTAGAGAAGATTAAACCATTTTTTCTTGATGATTTTTTGTGGATACAACCTCAATGCCTTTATGAAAATAAAGTTGGTTTACCTGCATGAATGCCTTGAATTAGAGGGTCCTCTATTCACGTTCTTCCTTTATGACTGATTGCATCCTCCCGATTGATACTTTAATATTTGCTAGTGAATATCTACTCCCTTCTCATTATTGATATCCTAAGGTCTCATTACATTTTGGTTGCAGTCTACCAGAAAAATTATTGCAGCATCAAGATATGGGAGTGCCACTCCTATACCACCTTCTGTACTCAGCCGTGGTATTGGTTGGCCGGTAACAAATGATCCTATGATCTCTCTCTCTCTCTATATATATATACACACACTATCACCTTCTACATCCCATAATTTCTGGTTCTGATCTCTCTATCACTTCTTTTAACTTTTATGAATATCCAGGGAATGGGAACTTTGCTTGCTGGACTTTGTGGTACAGGAAGTGGTTTGACTGCTTCAGTGTAATGACTTTGAATTTTTTATGTCAGTTATTTGCCTTTTGTTTTATGAATTTTTTTTTTCAAACGAGTACATATGATACTCTGATCTTCATTTGACCATGCTTCATCCATTAATTATCAACTTGCACAATCTTGAATGAGCTTCATATGTTTTCTTTATTGAGTTTTCCTAACTTGCAAATTTTTGTAGACATTTCTGTTGACTAAAATTGAACTTTACAACCATCCTGCTGAAAGATGATTAAGAATAAAAAATGTATATTGCTTTCTCAGATCTTAATTGAATCACAAATAATTCTGAAGCTCATTGAAGGTTCTGCTGTTGTCAATTCACGTAGGCAGATATAAAGCTTCTGCATGATTGCATGTTTCATTGAATTTTTGGATATCCTATTCCTAGTTTTCTCTTCTGCTGATGCTTTGATCTAATAATTATCTGTTATTTACTTCTAGTGAAAGTGCGGGTCTTTTGGGATTGACACGAGTTGGAAGTCGGAGAGTCATTGAAATATCAGCAGGATCTATGTTCTTCTTTTCTGTATTAGGTGCGGTATACCATAATGATCTATTCTACATCCCAATTTGTCCTGTCTTATTTGATTGTTAAAGTTTTACTTGTTTTCAATTTTTTCCTTTCTCTTCTTTCTTCTTAAGTAATTTTGCAACCAAGACTATAGCACAATACCTTTAATTTTATCCTATCAATGGTAGCTATAATTGTTTTATGATCATTTCTAACAGGAAAATTCGGGGCTATTCTTGCTTCCATACCCTTACCAATTGTGGCAGCTTTGTACTGTGTTCTCTTTGCCTACGTGGGTATGCATTCGTTCCCTGTATCTTAGTCAATGATATGGCTGATATATATTTTAGAAAATGAAGAGGAGAACTGATTTTTGCTGAACATTTTGACACTTCATTCTATGATAGAAATGAGTTCTGGTGTAATTTTGAGGAGTTTTAGCTGAGAACTTTAAAATTTTGTTTTGCCTCTTCCTCATAAGATGTTGGTGAATTTGCAGATTCTTAAAGGGGTATAAAACTGAATAAATTCTGAACTTTAGGCAAAATTTCATTTTATTCACTTAATCTATCAATTTTATTCTAGACTTCATAATCGGTAACAATTGTACCTGAAGGTAGGAATTGTGTCTGAGTGGAAGCTAAATTGGCATACTAACATAGCTATGTGAGTTCAGTTTGAATAGAACTGAACTTTCTGGAGCCCACTCAAAGTTGCTCTCAAAAAGGTTGTTTTGCGTGTTAAGGGCGAAAAGGAGGCCATAGGGTTTAGAGAGTTTTAGAATTTCAATTTAGTGCAAACTTTGTTTCGACACATGCCTTATGAGATGATTCCTATCCTTGGATACAATTTGTATCACTAAAAGATTTTGGAATAATATTTAATAAAGCTAATTGTTCAAAGTTCAAGATTTATAAGATCAATATTCCATTCTTAAATAACTAAATGAATTCATATAGAAAAAAAGTAAAATCATGTTTTCTTGTCTACATACAAGTGAAGAATGCACTGAGAAACCTGAAGCATAGAGTTTTAATCTTTTGGATTCAGTCACCTTGTAGATCAGCATGATTATAACTCTTTGCAAATCAATTGTCATTTTCTTTTGATACATATGTTAAAAAATCTCTCTTTTTGTACCATTTCCTGATGACCTGAAATTGGAACATGCAAGACTACTGAAATCAATGTTCTTTACAAAAGTCAATGTTTTTTTTATGCCCTATGGTATGTTGTTAAATAGAATTTGAGTTATTCTCGTTCCTGGTAACGCCAAAAACCTGCTTCTCTACTGTTTAATTGTTGTTGGTAGATACTATATAAATTGATTTTGATTGTGATATACTTGTGTGGGGTGAGCAGCTTCAGCTGGTATTGGATTTCTCCAATTCTGCAACCTAAATAGCTTCAGGACAAAGTTTGTTCTTGGCTTTGCCCTCTTCATGGGCCTCTCTGTGCCACAATACTTCAATGAATATCTCTTAATTTCTGGACATAGCCCTTTCCACACTCATGCTATCTTGGTATGTATTGTTTTGTGATATAATACCTAGGGTTGTTATTCTGTGAAATTTTATTTGAATTTTCTTATTTTCATGTTTGGCAAGGGTAAATATATTTATTTCACTCTTGTATATCTAATTTAATTTTATGAAATTCAACTTAATTAAATAAAAATTCTGTCATTTATAAATGAATTCTACACTTCAAATTTATTTATATCAAATAAAGGTTACATACGATTAAAATGATTCGTGTTTATCCTCTCAAAAAGTTCTAATTTTCTCTTTGCTTACAGTTCAACAACATAATGCAAGTGATTTTCTCATCTTCGGCAACAGTGGCGATTATAGTTGCATTCTTATTAGACTGCACTCACAGTTTTAGTCACAGCTCAACCTGGCGAGACAGTGGTAGACACTGGTGGGTGAAGTTCTGGAAATACGATCAAGACACGAGGACCGAAGATTTCTATTCACTGCCTTGGAACCTTAACAGGTTCTTCCCTTCTTTTTAACTCTGAGCAACTCTCTTGTCACATAAGACAGTAGTAATGTTGTCAATTTAATTATTACATTTCATTTGGGCAAAATGTCTATCAAACAATTTTAATGAAATCAACTTAATTAAATAAATTCTGTCATTTATAACATGAGAAAGTCTCTCGCAACACACTTTCTAAATTATAGTAGAGTTCATCATATCCAAAAATAAAAAGGTTTACATACGCGGAAATTAAATGAAGGTCCCGCAGTAGTATATACATCCTCTCACCAAGTCTAATTTTCTCTTTGCTTACAGTTCAACAACATAAGCTAAGTGATTTTTCTCATCTTCGGTCAACAGTGGCGATTATAGTGCTGACATGTCGCTTATCATTAGACTGACTCACGTTCATTTTAGTCGCTACAGCTCACCTGGGAGACAAGCTGAGTAAGACCCACTGGTGGGTGAGTTTCTGAAATACGATCAAAGACACGAGGACCCGAAGATTTCTATTCACTGCCTTGGAACCTTAAACAGGTTTCTTCCTTCTTTTTAAACTCTGCGCACTCTTCTTGTCACATAAGACAGTTAGTATGGTTGTCAATTTTATTATTTACATTTCATCTTGGGCAAAAGTCCTATCAACCTGACTGCGAAACTACGGTAATTTCATTTGGGCAAAATGTCTATCAAACTGATGCGAAATACGGTAAAGGGAACTTGTATAGGGTTTCTTAAGCCACAGATACTGACTACTGGCTATGCTTGTGATTAAATGTTATAGATTCAAATATATGTACACAAGGATCTGAAAAATATTAGTAGTAAGGGACTTTCTGCTCACTGCAACAAGAAATATTATTATGGTTGCATGAACTCGGACAGGACACGACACGTATTGGTCCCCTGAGTTACTCCCTCCTATCATCATTAATTATTCAACCATAATTGTAACAAGATAATTCTCCACACAATAAAAAAAAAAAAAGTTATACGTTGGGATTGTTTTTTTGGACATATATTATAAGAAAGGGGTTACTAGATGTGTTAGCTGCTGCCCCGTCGGCTTGGGCCACTAGTCAGATGTTAACGTTTCGATTTTAGACACTCTTATAGGGTGCACTAACTCTCGAGCACTGATGGGAGATGTTGCCCCCTTCAAAAAAAAATGGTTCATGCAATATCCCTGTTAACTTAATTAATTTGTTTTCCTTATATAAAAATATAGGCATGGCCGGTTCAGTGAACCGCCGGTTCGATATGTTTAAAATTTTGAATTGAAACCTAACCTTGAACCTCCGGTTCTGGCATGGTTCCGGCGAACTGACGGTTCGAATTACGGTTCAAATTCGGTTCTAGTATTACGCAAATTTTTAAAAAAATAATAAAATTTTTATTCCGAATTCATAAATAAATAATAATTTTAAATGTTTAAATTTTAAATAATAAAATTTTGATTCCAAATTCATGAATAAATAATAATTTTAAAATGTTTAAATTTTATTAACTAGATGAATTATTATAAATTTTAAAAGAAAAAACTTCTATTAACTAACTTAGAACTATTATTACATTAAATTTACAAATTTTGCTAATTTATTAATATAAAAAAACTATAAATGGAATATAAAATTAATGGAAGGAGTTGGAAATTATTATTTTCAAATGCTAAGAAAATTATTTAAAAAATCAAATGAAGTAAATTTATGAATGGAAAAATTTGAGATCAGAGAAAGAATTTGGAATTGGATGTAAGAAAATAAAAATTGGATGTAAGAAAATAAATAAACAATAGATAATTTCCAAATATTAATGACAAATAAAGCATAGGAAAAATAATGAACTATGGGAACTTTGAGAGAATTTTGATTGAAAATAAGAGAATAGTAGGATATAATTGGTTGTGAAATAAAAAAAAATCATCAACCTCATCTATTTATACATGTTTCTCATTTATTGTTTCCCAAATTGTCCCTTTATAACAGAAAAAATAACAGTATATTTTTGGATAATTTAGAAAATTCAACAGTAAATAAATAAACTAAATGATTAAGAAATCAATAACATTTATTTTCAAAAAATAATAAAAAACACCTATCATATCCATCAAAAAACTAACCTCCGTTACACTCTTTTTTTGTACACTTGAAAGTTAAGTATTTTTTTTTATAAATCAACTATTCATGTACCATTTTTTGTACAAATTAAGTCAAATCACGTGTATTTTTTTTTCATTACTTTTTATAACTTATGTACCATTGTACTTCTCTTCACCTTAAATCAAATCAACTACAATCAAATCAAGTGATATAAATTTTTTTATAAAAATTTTAAGCTACAATTTTTTTTGTGCATCGGGTTCGAACCGGACTGGAACTGCCATTAACCGCCAGTTCCGGGCAGGTTCCAGTTTATATTTTAACATTCATATGAACCTTAATCGGCCTTTGAACCGTCGGTTCCGGTTCAAAATTATGAACTGTTGATAGTGTTAATTTTTATAGTGTTTTTATTGTAATTTTCACTAAGATTTCTAGCATTTTTAATTTATCTAAATTAGTTTTTATGTAATATTTAGTTTTTATGTAATATTGTTATGTTTTTACTTAAAAGCTTCCTTGAAACACAACTCACTTAATTTTAAGGAAAAGTGTAGGATTTTGCAAGAAAAGGACAAAAATAAGGCAAAACATAATCAGCACGCTCCAGCCCGTGCTAAGGCGCACGACCGTGCCAAATGCAAGGCAAAACAAAGCAAAGAATCAGAGGCGCGCACGCCCCAACCCATGCTAAGCCGCACGCCCGTGCCACAACTGCCCTGGACTTCCAGAGAAGCGCACGTCCAAGCCCGTGCTCAGGCGCACGTCCGTGCCCGCACTAGAAATAAAGACTTGGCCCGTGCAGTTGAAGCACGCCCGTGCTACATATGTTCCAGACTTCCAGAGGAGGGCACGCCCCTGGCCGTGCCAGTGCGCACGCCCGTGCTCTGGAACATCCCCAGACCGTGCTGAACAACACGGTCCCTATTGAGAGCCTCAGACTTCCAGAGCCTGGCACGCCCAAGACCGTGCCAGGTAGCACGCCCGTGCCAATCAAGAATCCTGAATTTGAGTCAAAAGTTGCCAACTAATCCCTACCATTTTCACAGGATACTTTGTTTCCACAGGATCCCTTTGATACTCCTCCTAATTCGTCAAACTTCAACCATATGCACTTGGAAAGCCATAATTTGAGAGTATTTATGGCTGATTAGAAACCTTTTTCCACTCACAAAGTTGACCCTTTTAACCATCATTAAAGCAATGTGGGATTGTTCCCCCAAGAAGTCTATATAAGAGGGGAAAGAAAGCCATTTCCACAAAGCATCACACACATTACACTACACCTTCACTCCTTTCTTTCTCTTATAGCTTTTGTATACAAGTTTTATTCTTTTAGAAAGTTAAGTATTCAAGAGTTTGTGCAAGTTTTCAACAAGATTTCAAGGAAGCCATCCAAGCAATTTATCACTAGTTCTATTTCTAAACTCTTAATCTTGTTTATTTCTTTCATTATTCTTATTGATTATGGAATATTTATCAAGTATTATTGAGTGTTACTTAAGTACTATGTGTAACTAAATTCTTATACTAGGGGTTTGATGTAGCTTAATCTTTTTTTCAATTTATGCAATTAGATTTATTTTTCCTTATTCAAGTTATGATTTATTAATGAACTTAATGCTTCTAGGCCGAATTTTCCCCTAGATTGATTTATTTCAATTATCACTATCGGAAGAAGGATTTTTGATAAGAAAAGGTTAATAAAACACATGAGAATAATAACTTCGAAGAATAATGAGACTTGATGCGGAAAGGCTATATGGTTTGACTCAATGGGGTTTTATGAGTTATCAACCTGAAATTTATAAAGGTTCAATAAACAAACTACATAACTTACATCACCTCTCTCAATTACATAGTTAATTGCACTATTTGATTATACAGGTAATAAATGAATTTAAAATTATAGTAGATTTACATCGGATAGAGCTTTGTTAGTGAGATTAAGCGATGTTTCCCATACATTGAATAATTAAATGATTTTTGAACGTAATGAAAATAATGAACTAATGAAATAAATTGGATAGAATTAAGTGAAATCAAAACCTCTAGTAGCTTTACTTCCTTGATTTCTTTTAATCAATTTTTGTTTACTTTGACTCTTGTTTATTTTACATCTATAAAACAATTCTCTCAAGTATCGTTTAAATAAGAACAAGATAACATAATTTTGGTACTTGGATTACAATCCTTGTGGAAATGATATCTTACTCATCATATATTACTTGTAGTGATTCGTACACTTGCGAAATAAGCTGTCAACTGTCAGTTTGAATCCAATTTCGATTCGTCTACAATACGGTTCGATTTTGGTTCGGTTCCGATTAGAACCGAACCGGTGGCCATGCCTATAAAAATAAATGGAAATTAGTTTGCATGCAGTACATAAATTCATCTCCGAACTTTATAATTTTAACTCTATGGAATTCTAAATTTTATAAATGATCTATTATGCACTTCAAGTTGTAAATTTTGATAATATTATAGAGCTTTCAACACTAACAATAATAGTTGTTAGAATTTTTATTTTTATATTTCAACTGTGGCGATATTCAATTAAATTTCTTACCACAATTTCACAAGGTTTGCTTGAAACAATAAAAAGATTTTTCATGCATAATTTAAAATGATTTATATTGCTGTGATTTATTTTATACAAAAATGGTTCTTTTATCATCTCAGTTAACTAATTTTTTTTTCTTATACAAAAAAGAAAATTTATTTTTAAAATTTTATTTTTTTAGTTTGTATTTTACATGTGTTTTCATGTTCTGGGAGCAATATTGAAATTCTCTAGGGTTGAGATTACTATAATCAACAAAATCTCAATTATTATTTCGATTTATTTTGAAGATATCATTCAAATTTTTAATTTTAAATTATGTGAAAAAATGCTCAAAATGTTAGCTACCAAATAAAATCTGCTGTTCCTGAAAAAGACGAAACAATGTAATGGGCCAATCTAAGATATCTGGCGGGCCAGTCTAATGACCTCAATTTCTCTTCCAAATAAAATCAAGTAAATTAGAATCATGAAAACAGTTCACTGAGACTAGAAGGCCGTTTATAGGTTTGTTTAATCTCAAGTCGGATTTTTTTCTTCACTGAGACTAGAAGGCCGTTTATAGGTTTGTTTAATCTCAAGTCGGATTTTTTTCTTCAGCTCCTCCTCCTCATCTTCTGCCTTCTTCTCCTTCGCCTTCACGAGTGTTAGTACATTTAAATCTGCCTTCTTGGGTGATCCCACTGTCGGCACCTCCTTGGTTGATGGTGGTGGTTTAGATGTGCAATGAAAAAGGAAAGCTATGATAGTGCCAAATGTTGCTGGAGATGACAAAATAACCTCCAGTATGATTTTGAACTGAAATCAAAGACAAATGAGAACCAATCATTAGTGTTTGGAAAAAATCAATTCTAACTATCGTTTTAATAAATATATCACAATGTAACTATATAGAAAATTAAGGAGCTAAATTGACAAAAAAAAAAAAATTAAGTCTAATATTTTTTATCATTTTAAATAAATTTAAGCGTCAAATTGATCTTTATTTCTATATATAAAGAGTAAAAATAGGGAAAAGTTTATTAATTATGCCTTAATATTCAAAAAACGATTAATATTTATAGACAAGAAAAATTACTATAAAACAACTTATATTTATAGGCAATAGAGGAAGTAGATTTTAGTAAAAAAATTTGTCCAATTCACTAATAAATAAAATATTTTTCTCTCTATTTCTTTTTATGGGGAAAAAAAATTGAATCTTCATTCTCACTCTTATTGGAAACCATAGTGAATTATGCTAATAAATTCAAAAATCGTGTAATAAGTGAAATTTATCATGATTTTTTTAATGGTCCAATAAAAATAAAAAGAGAATGCAATATTATAACAAATAGAAATTTACCCAATTAGTGCTGGTTTGAGGAAGGCCATTTGTCGAAAATAAATCATAGTCACCGAAATACTGAGTCGCAGAGAGACCCATAAAGAGGGAAAAACCCAAAAGAGCCTTTGGCCTTAAGCTTTTCAATTCGCATAAGATGAAATCATCAACACCTCCTGCCACTGTTAGCTCCATAATATGTACAGTACAAATCAAAAGTCAATTGATAGGTAATATACAAAAACAATACTTTGCTATTACAATAATAATAATCATCGAAAACATATTGGCAAAAGTGAAAAAAAAGGATACATACCCACATAGGGGAAGAAAGCAATGTATAGAGCCCCCACAATTGGCAACGGTATAGAAGCAATAATAACCGCAAGTTTTCCTGTTAGATATGTAATATTTACTAATAGTTATTACATTTTCCTTTGACCAAAAAAAAAAATGCAGATATTAGATCAAAAACCTTAATATCATAATAAAAATTGTATTAAACTGAATTTTATATATATTATTAATATAATAATATATATATTTTTATTATATAAAATAATTATTAAATATATAAACGCACAGCTGCACCTAGCAGAAATGAGAATGCATTTAAAAGATAACTGAGAGTAATGACAAATCCTCCGATTCTACTGCGATCATCCTACACCTGCATGTTGACTTACCACAACAACCATGCATAATTAATAATATCTAACAATCATAGTATAAGAAATTGATAAAATATAAATTATTCTATAAAAACAGTAGTATAAAAAAATTGTAAGGAATATCTGATGGAAATTTGCTTGAATTCGAAGTAGAGATCGAACTCGATTGACCTTAAAATTGAGTGCAACTTTTGACATATATAAAACATTATGTTTAAAATATATTATTATAATAATATTCCCATTGCTAATCGCTAAAATATCTTAACTAAAAATTACATCACAACAGTCTTATTAAATCATTTAAATTAATATGAACCAATGCAAATCTATTTAGGTCAAAGTATAAAATTACATAGATCAGTGGAGCCCAAGCCCAAGCCAAACACTGGGTCCAGCAAAAGTTCCAATCCATGCATTGCACCTTCTTTAGAGTTACACAATGAAAAAAATGTGAAGATTAAAAAATCATAAAGCTCTTTTGGGAAATTATAAAAATACATTTAATTAAGCTTCAAACTTATATTTGAAATAAATTAGAATTGAACCATATTTGTAATTGTATAGGAATACCAAAGAGAAAATGAAGAGAAAAGAAAAATGATGAGAGTATAGGCAGAGAGAGGAAAAGGAAAATGAGGAAATAAAAAATACAAAAAGAGAAAGAAGAGAGAAAAAAAAAGAAGTTATTAAAATAATCAATCCAATAGACTTAATACGTAAACACACCTAGAACTTTTGTTATGTTTAACTCCAAATAAAACTAAATTAATATTTTCCAATATATACCTTTATTTTGCAACTAAAAATGTAAACATTGAAAATTGAGATTTTAATTGCAATTTAATAAAATTTAATGAATTTGTTTATAATTTAAACTTAAGTAATAATGAAAATTAATACGGTCTTTAATTTAATAACTTGCACCAATGCTCTATAATATTAAGTTCTTTATACGATAGCCGCCGCTAAATCTTCGAGTAGGTAGCAAACTGCATAGAGACTGAAATTCCATTAAACAAATTTTAAATAACCCTGCATTGATCTATCGGCCCAATTTTTCTTAAAATTGACCATCAAAATATTTTGCTAATTTTTGTTTAACTTGTAAACACAGACATGTTTGAATTACTAGAATATATATCATATAAGTTAACATGATTTCTCGTTAATTAAAAAAAAATAATTAATATCTTGATTGATAATTTATGATGGATTAATGTCCATTTCATCTGAAGAAAGACATAAATCTATCTAAAGTTCAAAGTTTTTCAATCTATTATTTTTGTATAATATAATTTAACTCATTAATTATTTTCAAAAGCTCTTTTCAATCCAATGAAATCATTGTGATTTTAGAATATTTCCTGGCAATAAATAATTTTTGAAAAAAAAAAAAGAAGTAAAAAACATTTAATTTTATGAATTAATGTCTAGTCCCAAACTAGTTGAGGTCGATTATATAAATCCTTTATTTCAAATATTTGCTCTGACTAGGTTAATATCAGTGCAAAGCAAAGTATAAGTCGAAAGAAAAAAAAAACTTTTAGTAATTAAAAAACTTTGAAAGAGGAGTTTTGAAATCATTTGACATATTAATAAATAAACAAGCTTAAGATAGACAACAATAACTAACTTAGGTCTGTTACATAAATCTTTTGCTTCTATTCTTTTTTGTTCATAGCTATATCTTCATTAATATTCAAAAAACGTGAAATTCTTAGCGACAACTTCCCTCCAAGTAGTTTTAGGCCAGCCTCTTCCCTTTTTATCACTCTCTAGTATTATCGAGGTCTACATAATACATGACCACACCATCTCAGATACTCTCTCATTTTTTCTCCAAATTCTGCTACTTGCATCTTTTGTCTAATGTGACTATTTTATAATCTTATCGAACCTTGTGTGATCGCATATCCATCTCAATATTCGCATCTCTACAATATTCATCTTGTGAACACATTGCATATTAGGTGCCTAGCATTCACTCACCATATAACATTGCCGGTCTCACTACTATTCTATAGAACTTACTTTTTACCTTGTTAGATATTTTCCTAGTCACATAGTATACTTATAGCTGATGTATGCATTTTATGTATATATATTTATACCTTTAAACTTTTAGTTTAATCCAATTCTAGGGGATTTTTAATGATTTAAAGATAGTTTTCATTCTTTTGAGGGAGAAACACCTTAAAGCAAGAGACATTTCAATCATTTTGGACCAATCCATAAAAGGAAGGTCTGGCGTCAATATCCACGACCGATACACTGGTCGTGCTTTATCCACGGCAATATCAGATGCATTCTGGTAAAATCCAAGGTCGGTCAACCTGCCGTATATTCTCTATCAATAAGTCAGAAGACTTAATGCAAAATACACGCCCAACCATACATCCATAGAAATTTAGATACGGGAGGGGCACCGATCATATGTTTCACCCCTTTCTACTCGTCAGCCCATATGATGGGCCGTGTATTTACCAAGCATAGAGCCTGCATATAAAGCACAGGGGGGGGGGGCACTAACCATACATTTCCTCCATGTGGCAACTTAAAGCGAGAGAATCGGTCAATGATCTTTTTGAAATGCCTTTGCAACCTTTGCCAGCGCTATAAGAGGAAGGAGAGGAGATACAAAGATCATCAAGAAGGCTATGGAACATCTCAGATTAAAAGAAACACGTAATTGGATTCGGCTATAGGATGTACTCCATAGTTAGAATAGAAACAAGATTTCGATCTTAGTTTTCTATTGTGGACAAGGATGGTTCTAGAGCCACCATTTCTTCTTAATCTTATGATTTGTAATTTGAGAATGATTTATGAGTAGTCCTCTTAGCTAGTGTTGGGTGAAAACCCATTTGGGCAGCAACTATATAATCATCTCTCCTTATTTTAATCTTAATGGATGTTTTTCATGATTCGTGTGTGTGTGAGCTTAAAGCTTATGAATATGATAGAGTTTCGTATATTTGTATGAAAAGAAATGAGAGGATGAAGAACTAGAAGGTGAAGTCCCTTATTGGACTGACCCACACATGAACCTAAGAGATAGATGTAGGAATAAGCTATTCTTTTAAGGAATTAGGGAAGGTTATAGAGATTAATGGGCTGGAACCATCATTGTACCATGAAAGTTAGATGTTCTTATGATTCCGAAACGTTTGTGTTACTTGGAAGAAAGCATAAATATAAATAGATTTCTCCCCCTTCAAGATGCATCCCTTAATAGATTGAAAATGGAAGTTTGAGATTATAATGTTGTTCAATGGTGCTGATCCCAACACTAATGCCTTTCCCTATCTGAGAAAACTAAAGCTAGCTAGCTTGCTTTTATTCTAATTAGTAGTTCTTGCTTGTTTTACATTTAATTAGCTTAGATTCTAAATATTCTTCATCTAATTTCTAGATAATACATCTTGGATCCAAAACTAATATTTGGTTCCCCCTATCCTTGAGGACGATATCTTGTATGTACTACTTGCACGATCCATACTCTTGTGGAATCACTAACAATAGGACTCCTCCATTTCGTCAATTCCACTTGAATTATATGAGAAACATCTTCATTTATGAGACCCCCTTTGGATCACAGAGCCTAGATATTTGACACTTTAATTGCCATTAGGCACTAGCATATATCTATCTAAACTCACTCTCTTTTTCCTGAAACCCAAAACTCTGTATATTAGATAAAGATAGGCTCATCCATACTAGAGTAAATCAAGCATGGCATAAAAATAAATCCTTTACATGGCCCAACATTATGAAAACTTCTCTACATCCCTCTAGTTTTCTTATAATTCATGACTGTATTTCAATATAATCTGTATGAAGTTTAATAAACTTGTATAAAACTCTTTCTTCTCATAAATCCACCAAAGTGATTTCCCTCGACACCTTTTCAAAGCCTTTTCTATGTCAATTGAACAGCATGGTAATCATTTGTTCCTTTTTCAATATTATCTACCACTCTTTCTTCGAAGCAAATTACCTGTTTGTTACAATTCTACCAGAACATAAATCAAACCTGTTCATTTTATAATTCTTGTTAATGTTCCTATAATCTATATTCTTATTATCTTTCCCCAAGTGTTCATTAATTGATTCATAAGTTATACCACATATATTTGTATAATCTTTGCAGATGTCTCCGTCTGTTTTATATTATATCAGCATCGTATCAAGTATTGCTTTCCTTCACTATTTACATTTATTCTATCCTCTAACGAAATAAATTGAAAACATTGTTAACAACATATTCCACTTCCTCAGACTCTTCCAAACTCTAAAGATACATCTAAACACATGCTTTCTCAGCCCGTTATTTGCTTAAGCCTAATTATTCTAATGAGTGTGTAATTAAGATTTCTTTTCGCGTCCAAAGAGACCTTAAAAATTCGTTGAAAGTTCCCATACTTCAACTTTCATCAATATAGACATCATCCATTTATATAAAAAAAAAAAAAAAAAAAGGAATGCTAGCTAAAAAAATCAAAAATAAACCTCAATAAATAGCAACAAACAAGCAGCATCATTGAAACACATCACCAAGCTTCAAAGTGAATCCCATTGGAAATGATTTGGAATCTTATCCTGCAAGTTAAGTGTATAAAATCAAATCCAAAAGTTCAACAAAATCTTCAAGTTTAACAAAATCTTCAACTCATCTCAAATAAAAAAGAATAAATCATGTTATTTTTCTGGATTAGACTTGTTTAGACTCAATCTATAGCTTCCATATATAGATCAAATAAAA